TGAAATGTTGTCAATTGCTAACATCTGTGTTATGTGCCCTCTGCACATTCATAATATGACTTTTTTTTTCCTCAGCTCAGTTCATCAGAGTGACTTTGGCAGAAATGAGAGTATTCAATACATCTTAAAACATCTCCCCTAGAAGGTAGTTAACATCAGGTTTGCCTGCTCACCATTCAGGGCTGATTGTGCCTGTGTTGCTACTTGCATACTCATTTTGAATCCATCCCATTACCTCCCTAACAAAGTGTGAGAGAAAAATACATTCAGCAGGGTCATTATGGGAACCACCTTCTGAAGCTCTGTAAATAAGTTACCATTTTCTGTGCATAGTGTGTGTGCAGGGAGGACTGAGATAAAGTCTCATGTCTGATGCTGTCTTCTGAATTGATTAGTCTTGTATGAGCAGACACTTTTCTTACACCAAATTTCCACTTGTCTGTCTAAAGGTGGAGACCAGTCTAAGAGCTGGGCCAAAGGGCATTCTGGAGTTATAGCACATCAGATCTCACTGGTATAATCTGGCATAGATCTGAATTAATGCATGAGGTAGAGAAACAAATGTGTGTCTGCAGGGTTATTAAACAACTGTCATATTTCACCACAGTTGTGTGACTTTTTCATGAACTGCCCTTGAACAGCTTTTGGGATCCCTCTGAATGGGCAAGTTGTATAAACAGTCCATTCATTTGAATTGTTGTTTTTCCTAAGGGAGTCATACATCCAAATTCCAGGTAATGACTGTGGTTTTGAGATCTAAAGTTTTCTTTTTCATATGAACTGGAATTCTATTTTGTTCCACTTCAATATAACCCATGGACCAGGTGGGCTGAGAATTGGGAAATGTATTATATAGGCTTCTCTCATTCTTATTCTTCCCTACCTGCCAAGAGCCGCTGCCTAAGAGGCTACACTGGGATGGTTGAACCTTGCTCTGAACCACAGCTGTTCTTACCTCGCCTCTTTATGCCACTGGGACCTGCCTTTGCCGGCTCACAAAAAAAGCCTCATAAAATATTACTGTGATGGCATGGTCTGCGTTACAGAGGGGCACCACGCAACCAGGCATGGTGAAACAGGCTTGGTCCAAGAGGCAAGCTCTGCCTGTGGCAAGCTGTTAACCTTACAGCCACTAGAGCTAGAGAGAAGCTTTTGCCTTCAAGAAGCTGATGGCAATATTTGGTGCTAATAGAGCTTTTCGATTTATGAGCCCTATAGAGTGCCAGAAGCAGAATTTCCCAGGTAAATCAACAGTCTGTTCTGTTTATAGGGCTTGTAAGGAGCCTTAGATTTCAGTGGTACATTCCCTCCCACAGCTACTGTGCTGCATTGGAAATGACATGTGGGTGCTTTGATTTCTTTTCTAGTTTGTCATTTTGTTCCTGTGAATTAATCTTTTATCAGCAACAAGCTGTAATAGAGGCTGTTTCTCAAGAGGAAGCATTTCTACCATTCTCACCGATAAGTTTACTGTTAATCAATATTTGAACCTCCAGGGCTACGAAATCTGGTACTGCATCCTTGTTTCATCTTCTTTAATGGATGGATTATTTCTGTGTCAGCTGTGGAGCTAAGTTTCAAAGTGACCATCTGTGGCAATTGGTGTTATTCAATCAATGGTCTACAGCCCACAGGTGGTCCATAAAACACTGGAAGGTGATCTGTATAGCAGTGGGAGTTGCAAGTGAAAATCAAAGCAATCCTAAAGGCATACACAGTGACCCCCTGCAGTTAGCAGCAAGCAGTGATGTGCCAGCTGCATGCAGAGCCATCTGGTAGGTGCAGATCGATGGGTGCAGCATTGCCTGTGGATTTTTCTTCCTCAAAACTTTTATTGGCTCTTTGATTATTAGAGAAGCTTGAGAAACACTGCTGTAAGGGATATATTGATCTTTCAAAGGTTTTATTTTTACCAAGATGACTATTTCAATGTGGGAAAGATGTTTTTACATAGTTGCACATCAGGTTTGAAGTCAACTGGTTTTGGAGGCTGGATGCGGGTAATTCTGGCTCTTCCTCGAGGTATCATAAAAGAAACCATCTAACATAGGTGCCTGCAGGTGAGCACCTGCATCTGCTTGTGGATGGTGGGGTACAGCTCTGTGTTACCTGGTGAAAACGCAAAGCTCCTTTGAGTGCACAGGCAGCCCCTGGAATGTGCTGTACATGCAGTGTGCTGGAGGCAGAGGGCTGCCCCTGGCTGTGCGAGTAGCAGGGATGCTCCTGTGCTTTGTGCTTGGATGTGAGGTTTGAACAAGCTGTGCAAAAGATGTCTTTACAGGTTTGCCCTGCAAAAGAAGTGTCAAGACTGTCCTTACCAACAGCTACAGGCAGCTGGCAACTGCCTCTGCTGTTTCCCAGCAGCCACGATGTGTTCTGGCCAAGGCTACATTCCTACCTGCTTTCCAAGCAGGAATTTGTGGGCTCTTTAGCACACAGTCATATCTGCAAATCATCTAGTTCCCATTACTTTGTAATTGCAAGGAGATATTTCTAGAGATGTGCTTTTTAAGTTGGTCTTTCTCTTAGAATGTTTTCATTTTTATGTAAACTAAAAATTTATTACTCTGTGGGCCTGTGATGCAATGTGCAGTACTGGCAGCCTTGTGTATGAGAGGATTATGAGAAAAAAAAAAAAAAAAAAACCAAACAGACCCTTGTTTCACACTATTGCTTATATTAGGGTGTCCTTTTTCTTTTGGCTCTTAATTTTCATCTTTTGCTTGCATTCTAGTGACTGCATTTTAAGCTTTTCTTCACAACAGAGAGAATTGGAAACTCTTTGTTCCCTCTCTTTTTTTTTTTGTTTGTTTGTTTGTTTTCCCCTTCTCCCTCTTTTTCCCTTTCCCTTTTGTCTTACAACAGCTGAGAGTTTTATATCACCACAGAATTCCAGGAGGATGAGCTTTCTAAGCAAATAAACCAACTAACACTCTCCTTTAACCATCTTATATTCACAAGTATCTTAATAAAAATGTGAGCTCTGCCACAGCTCTGACTGTTAGACTTACTGTGATGACAGTTTCATTACTGAGAACAACAAGATTTTTCACTTGAAGAATAAGGAAAAAAATAAAACATCTGAAATATTGTCTGCTGGAATTTGATTTTTTCTCCTGTCTGGGAAGCTGTACAAGTAAACCCAAGACAACTTGAAATGCTACTTTTGGCACTCCTCAAAACATATCTGATGGGCAAGGCTGCTGAACTGCTTCATGTGGTTAACTTTGAATACAGATCAACAAGAGTCTTCATCCAAAAAATATTAATTATAAAATATAGCTGGATGTATGAAAGGTTGGTTAACCATTACGTAATACTTCTAGAAAACAAGATCTTGTGCATAAAAAGTTCAGAAGAAGAGGTGCAAGATAAACAAAGCTTTGGGTACTGTTAGAATAGCCAAATTATGTACCCCTTTCAGCCTGATAAGATTCTAACAAAAATAATTTTACCAATCACTTTTTGAAGGGTGGTTCTTTACTTCACTGAGGTAACTGGAATTGTGAGAGATCATTTCATCATAGGCAAGCAATACCAGCAATGAAATGCACTTGCAAAGAATGTTTCAGGAATTGAGATATGTCTTTTGTGTTCATGACATGGTGGAAAATAAGACTGATTACATATAATAGAATTTTTTCTAGGTGAGAGTTTTTAAGGTGAAATCATATAAGCATGGTATGATTTCAAAGTATTTGTGCCTTAGAAATGTTCAAGGATATTTTTTATTGTATATAGTTCTAATACAACAATAGAACAGTGGGTTTAGTAGAAGAACACATTGAATTTGATGTTTTACTGTATTTTTTAACCACATTTGGGAAACAGTTGAAATGCTTGCTTTTGAGTGAAAATTTAATCAGCTGCTAATTACTTTCAGAGTGGAGATGAAATCCCCAATCTCTTTAACTCATCCTTTGGCAATCAGGAATGAATTGTAGGTCTGTTTTACTGGAGTTATTCCACTTTGTACTTGATTTGCATTGCACAGGTGAATGGTGCCAGCTCTTGACCTGCAGAAACATTTAAAACTGGTACAACTTTTTGTGATGAAATTTTATAAGTATAAAGTGAAGGACCTCTTTTACAAATACAACCTTCCTCTAAAGCTTTTTTTTTTTTTTTTTGAGTTCTGTCTTTGGATTTCATGTTTTACAAAATTGTTAGCTTCAAATTTAAATCCTAGCTGAGTTACTCAAATGTTCTGAAGACTGCAGGAAGTCTGTGATATTCCTAGCTTGATATTACAAAGAATGGGTGCAAAGCTGAACTGAAAAACCTCAGGCAGGATCTGAGCTTGGATGCTTGTCCTAAGGTTTGTCATTGAAATCCTGCAGTCATTCTTCATCCATGAGAGAATTTCTTCTAGTTAAGTGATATTTCTGAGTAGGGCCATTAATTTTGGCTTGCAGTTGCAGGCAATTAATCAAATAAGCAATAAAAAAGTTAAATTATTATTGTTTGCAAACTTTAATTCGCTTGGGTGCAAACATTCAGAATGCTGGGTCTCCTGGGTACTGATTCAGGTTTTAATCTCTTCCTGTGTTTTGCTTGATTTTTTTGTGACTTATTTAGGAGTAGAACTTCCTGGTTGTATTCCCAGGCTCTGGCCAACCTCAGTGCCTTGTGACCATCTCTTTCTAGTACCCCGAACTCATCAGAAGCTAAATTAGGCCCCATCCTTCACTGTGTTGAAGGGACTGTATGTATGTAAGAGATTGATGGGTTATTATAGCGCATCATGGGTTTGGAGAAATTATGCAGCATCTTCTGAAAAATCCCCAGCTACAACCTGCTTTTGTAACTCCCTATGTACATTCCACTGAGGTCCTGTGTGCTGCTGTCTCCCTCCTTTCTTTTCAAAAGAGATAGAGCACTTAGAAGGAAGCCAGGCAATCAGTTTAAATAATTTTGAATAATCTGACACTGCAAATAAGGAAGAAGGGTGGCAGTTCACAGTCTTAATTTAGAATGCTGCGATCACCTCTTGGCGCTGAATGTCTCACCAAGGCTCTCTGTCCTTCCAGGTGTTCCCAGGGAACAGCAACGCCGACGGCGTGGTTCACCACAGACTCCTGCACTCGGTGAAGGGCCGCTTCCTGCGCTTCCTCCCGCGCAAGTGGAACGCCGCGGGGCGGATAGGGCTGAGAGTGGAGGTCTTCGGCTGCTCCTATAGTAAGTGGCTACATCTTAACCCATTTTTTCTCAAAGAGCTTTTTGTCATGTGGGAAGAGGCCAGCACAAGTTTTCAGTCGTTTTGGTTGGAAAGAGACATTTAAGATCATTAAGTCCAACCACTAACCCAGCACTGTCATCACTAAGCCATGGCTCTCAGCACCACATCTATACATCTTTTAAATACTTCCAGGGATGGTGACTGCCCCACGTTCCTGAAATGGTGCATCCTAAAGATGCAGAAAAACCTCTTGCCATGCTGGAGGGTACAAAGCTACTTGGGACCTTTTGTAGAGCTTTATTTAGGAATTAAATAGTTATTTTTTGTTTTTTAATTCAAGTTAACTAGTTGTTGAGGGAAGTCCTGGGGATTTTGCAGCTAGTAATTGTATTTGGGGCTGATGACATCATAGCTCCTGAGTGCAGAGAACTCTGCTGCTCTAACTGCTTTTGCATGAGTGTTTTTTCTTCTTCTTAACACCTGGTGATAATCCTCTAAGACATGATCTACAGCATTTTGTCACATGGGCTTTGGAGCAGCCTATAAGCACCTGGGTAGTTCAGCTACACAGTTGTCTTGGTATACTGCTACAGATGTATTGTCTATCACTACAGAAGAGTGTGAGTGTAAAGAAAAAGGACCAGTGTTTCTCCCATGCACAAAATAAAAATGGATCCATGACTGAGGAAACGTGAGTCTGGTATTTGTTTCTCAGGTAGCTGTGAGTTTATTTCTGAAATGGCCAAACATGACTTGAGACACTGCTGGAGACAGAAGAGATTTTACTGGTGAGAATTCAGGGGGTTACACAGCATTTTAGCAATACACTCAATGTTGAGTGGCACAAGCCACCATGATGGTGACACTACTCTACTTGCACATGTCTCAGTTTAGCTTAGGTCCTCATCTGCTCCTACTGGGTACAGAGAAGGGGTTTTAAGACAACAGTGGGAAAACTCTTATCTGGGAGACTTCTTAAATTCATCTAAGCAGAATCAAAAAGCAAAGTACCTTAAACCTTTTGATTCATAAAATCCCTTTGAACAGTGATGTAACTCCAGGACTCTTAGTGACTTCATCGCTGCAGTCAGATCTTAGGACTGATTCCCATGGTTTCACAGGCAGATCTTTGGTACGGTCTCTGTAGAGCTGAAAAATCCATTAAGCATTTTTAAAATGCTGCTTCTCTACCTGTATTGATGCAGACTTATCATTCATTTAATTACAGACCTGCAATTGCCTGATCTGGGTGGATAGTCACTAGGGCAAGAGACCTTTTCCAGCCATACTAGTGGACATGGAAGCTGAAACCTGTAAATCAAAATTAAGTGCCGCTGATAACATCATTCCAAAGCAGCTCTCATCTGTTTTCAAAGAGCTTTCTTCCATTAATAATGACCAAGCCTCTGCAGTGAAGAGTACAATCCAGGCACATGTGCAACAAAAACAGAACTCAAACTGAAGGCTGAAACTTCTGTAGCTGAATGTGTTTTGGTGCTGTGCAGTGTGAAATACCACATGGCGCTACTTCGCTGTCAGATTGTGGTTGTAACTTCTATGATATGAAGAAGACTTCAAAGGCACTTGCAGGCATATCCTTGCACTCATATCATCTAAGTCTTCATCTTTGTCCTATATCCTGCAGTTACAGGAAATAAAAATGATTGTGCACAATTAAGGTATGAGATTGAAGCAAACCAGAAAAGAAATAAAGGGATTCATAAAAATTTTACAGAGCTTTGAAATATTCATTCCATTTATATAAAGTGTGCCGTTCAAATTTCTCTTTGGCAAATTGCATATGCCAAGGAAAACCTGTCTACAAGTTCTGCTTGGATAGTTTCACATTCTTGGCTACATCTAAGCCAGGTACTCCAGCACTGTACAAAAGATGTTTGATCATTTATAAAATGTCATCTTTTCTCTTACACTGACAGAATATCTGTATCAGATCCTGAGCTGTTTTACACCTACATAACTACTTTTTGTAATGTTTGACAGTGTACAGACTCATCCACCATGTTCAGTTCTGGCATGAGAAATATATCAACAATTTCAAAATATTTTTTTAAAAAAATTACATTGAAAAAAAATGACTAGAGGCAGACTGTTGGACAAGCCAGGATAGAAACAAAGGTAGGAGGAGAACAAATGTCCCAAATGTGCACCACTTCTGAGAAGTGACCCTTCATGCAAGCGTCTGTGTGTATAAGAAAGAAGGGATGTGTGAGTGGGACTAAGAACAGCCACCTACCTCTACCAAAGGCTTTGGCTCATATAAATTCAACTATAAGAGCCTGATTCACAGTTGTACCAAACCCCCTTTAAGCTGTTGGAATGACTTCTATAGGTAAACAAACCCAGAGTATTTGATCTTAAATCCACTGAAGTTGAAAGGTTTTCCACCGGCATTTTAACTTTGGAACTAGTCCTGATGCATGATATAAAAAGGAAACAAGTTCACAGCAAACACATCTGATTCCAGTCCTCCACAGAGGTGCATATGTAACTGTGGGGTCGTTTCTACCTCAGTCTACTTGTAGAAGCAGGTTGAAATTTTGAAATTCAGATGATGCTGGACCAGTGGCTGTCAATTCCACCTTTCAGACAAATGTTGCCCCAGAAACGCAGCACTTGCTCTGAAAATAGATTTGCTTTCTATTGATATCCAGGGCAGAAAACTGTAGAAGTAAAGTTTTCGTTTATGGGCAAACTGGAGAGAGATACTTTTTGTGTGAGTGGTAATGTTCACTGGCTGGCTGAAACAGAAACCTGCATACACTGACAGCTTAGGCCATCTGAATTTCATATGCTGCAGCACATCTGTTAAAACCCTGGGACTACTGCCAAATATGCAGCTGAGCACCTCACTGTGATACACCAGGGTGTGCAAAATAGCCTGTGGTGCCTTGGATGATCTCTGTGCACATCAGCTCCTTTTTAACCTTGCATATCTGAGGAGAAGATGACAGCTGTAGGAGAGGTTTGCGGCTTTGCTGCTGCTTAAGCATTTTTGTGATGCAAAGTTAGGAGAATGTAACACTCTTGCACCAGCTCAAGGCTCTGATCTCTCATTTTTCGAGTATGACTGTCCTGTGCAGCGTACGAGAAGTTCCAGGAACACAACCTTTTGCTAACTTTTTGCAAATGCAGCTTTTGATGATGACAGCTTGGTCAGGGGCATATGGAAGGCATCAGGTCTTGTAGGCCACCAAACACTCTACCAGGACACACTAACAAAAGATACTGAAGAATCATTTTAGAGATTAACAGCTATGTGTGGAAGAAATTAAGAAATTTACTACTATGAATTTATCCTAAAAACTTCTGTCAAACAAGAGAGCCTTCTCTTTTTTTTTTTTTTAATTTTATTTTTTTCCCCTTTTTTCTTTTCGGCTTCTAATTGGCTGCTGGTTGATGTTTGTTTCCTTGAAATATAAAACCATGTTTCTGGCAGAAAAACTCTTTTTGAACATGTAAGGGTGCTTGACCCTATCCCATACAGATCTAAGTTCTTGTGCAAAAAAGCACTCCAGGGCTGTCAAACGACCTGGAATTCATAGAAGGCACATGCTAACTATTGTTTACTTTCTTACACAGAAAGTATGTGTTTAAAAGAAAATCAATTACATTTATTTTAAGTTTCTGTGATGATTCCGTCTCACATCCTCAAAACAGGTACTGAAATGTGAAAGTGATGATCTTGATCTGAAAACATATGTTGATGTTTCCTGTTCAGAAAAGGATTTATGAGTTAAACAGAAATATCTATGCAGGGGTATGTGAAAGCTCTCACTGTCCCTTTGCAGCAGTGGCTCCAGAAGCAGTGTGATTGTAAAAGGTAACCTGAGCTGCAACAGAGGATGTGTTCAGACAAATGGCAAACCAATTGCTTTTGATGCTGGGGGCAGTGGGTATATCTTTATACTTGGGAAAAGTCTTGTTAGCTTAGCGTAGAAAAAAAAAATCTGCTGACACAATTGCTTTTATAGGATAAGATTTATAGCTGCATTTAAGATGCTGATTGTATTCTATAACTGGTTAACAGCACAAAATGCATCAGCAGAATCACGTGTATGCACGGTTAGCAGGCTGGGAAACCACAGGAGAAACAGTGATAGGGAGTGAGAGAGGGTATCTTCTGCTTCTGAGAGCCCACTTCTCCTTTGCAGTTCAGGACTCTGATTTCTCATCTTTTGTTGTCATTGCTTCAGGGAATATGCTCTGATATTGTGCTTTTTGATTAAATGATATTTTTATGGATCTTTTTGCTCTCTCGTTGTCTTTTTTGTTGTTGTTGTTGTTTTGTTTTGTTTTGTTTTTTTCTTTCTCCTTTCTCTCCTACTTTCCTCTATCTGTTCCTTTGTTTTCCTGTGAGATAGAAAAGAATGCATTGCAGAGAGCAACTTAATGTCTGATGGACATTGACCAGAAGTATTTGTAGCTAGCTATGTAAGATAAATACCCAAACAATTGCTTACCAAGAGGCAGACATAGATTTGTGATAGGGATAAAGCTGCATAGCAGAACAGTTGTGTCTGAGGTGCTCATCCACATTCATCCCCTGGATTTCATGGCTGGCAAGGATGTGGAGAGAGAAGTCAAATCTCTTCAGACTCATTTAAGCCAGTAAATTACAACTGACCAGAAGAGACAACTGTTTGGATGAGAAACAGTCCTCCCTTCTACAGGAAGTTAAAGCTGCTGTTCTTCAATGCATGTACAAGAGCAAGAGGTCCTATCTCAAATTGCAACTGTTCCTGGAGGATATTTTTGTCTTTTGGAATAACTTTGCCAAGTAAGTGTTTAGTTTTTCCAAAATCACTAAGAGAGCCATTTCTGCCAGAATGAACATGTAGCCTTTCTGCTGCAAGGAGCAGATTGCTGTGCAAGCAAGCTCCATGCTCTCACATTTTTCCCAGCCTGGCTGCTGTCAACATAGAACATAGCTGGTCCTACACACTGAGCCCTCTGGTCACATCATGGCTTTGTTTTGTTTTGTTTTAATGCTGAATTAACCCAGTAATCCAGCTTCACCAGCCTGTTTCCACCCACTCCCAAGTGACTTTAATGTCTAGATCTGTTAGGAAAGGAAATTCAGGTGGAATAATGTAACCAGGATTCCTGGGGCCAGAAACTCTATGGAATTTCAGAAAAGCATGTTGAATTATTTCCATTTTATGGGAACTTCCTCACTTCTGAGCAGATGTGCATATGTATTTACAACAGAGACATCTGTATGAACTATTGGTCAGAGGAAAATAACATGAAAGAAGCATCTTTTGCCTCATCTCACTTGTGATGAGTTTTGTAGCCTTGTTGATGAGGACAGAGTAGAAAAGTACCCAGACTGAGTAAAGTCTGTCTTCAGGGAGCATATGTAAACCAGGGGGCAATGCAGGATGAAACCACTCATGGTTTAGTTTGTTATCACTACAGGTCTTCTGAGAATTACACGTTTCTGATCCTTGTTCTCTTGCTGCAAGTGGATTATAGACATACATGGACTAAACACTAAGCAAACAAGCAGGTTTTTCGGAGTCGCTATGTTACAACTGTGCTGTACCTTTCAATTTTTAAAAGGAAGTCAATGTTTGGTTGTCATGCAAACGGTCACTAAAGTCTTTTGGCTGCCAGTTAACATTTATCTGACATATTCCCATTTCATTCAGGGCTATTTATTGGCTGGTGTCCTCCCAAGCGAAAATTGGCAAAGAAGACCTTTTTAGAAAGAGGTTTTTCTTTCTGTTGTACTCTGTTAAGGTCAGTGATGGAGCTCTTCAAGAAATTGTGTGTAATGTGGCTTAGAGAGGTAAGAACAAGGACTGAATTTTGAATACAGACTGTTTGAAGGCTTGGATATTAAGAAGGAAAAGGGCCACTATTTTACAACAGTAAATCAGTGCTCCCTTACTCTTACAGTATCTTTGGTTTTGAGAGACTGGAGGAAAATAAACGTTAACTGCAAAATGCACTGGAAATCAAAGACTACAACTTCTTTATACTTCTGAATTCCTGCCTGTGCTAAAATGAGACCATTTTTGTGATATGCTTGCAATTTACTTTAAAAAAATTGAAATATTTAATGTAGCTAAGGGAAACTAATAAAAATTAAACTATTAATTTAATTTCTTTTATAGAAACTGGCAGTCAAGGCATCAATTCAGAGAAACTGGCAATTCTGAAGTAACTGTTTCTTAACACCTAGTTCAGAAGTAAAAAACAGTGAAAGCAGATTATGTGAATAATTTTGTATTCTTGATACTTCCTAAACTCATAGCTGTTCCATGTATGATGTTAGACAGCATACTGTAATTCTGATATCACAGACAAGAATTTGGTCTTACTTTATTCTGCGGTGACTTTTGTTAAGGCTTAGTTATTTTGTAGTTTTATTTTCAAAAATAATCAGTTGTCTTCTGATTTGGAATGGAATCAGCTTTGGAGTGACAAAATTTCACATGAGATTTAAATTTTGAGCTGCTTACAGGTTTGTAAGTGTACCATCAAACTTCTGTACCAAGTATCATTGAATCATAGAATGCTTTGGGTTGGAAGGAACCTCTAAAAGTCATCTAGTTCAACCTCCCTGCAGTTAGCTGTGACATCAGGTTATTATTAACTAGCTAATAATTTCTGTGCAGGCTCCACTAGAGGACACATTGTTAACCATACAGATAGCAACAGGTTGTCAGGGGAAGATGAACCCCTCGCATCAGCATCGTTACCTGGTTATCCTAGGGGAAGAGGAGAAGGAGTGCCCCCATGGAAGACATTGCTTCAGGGGGTGGGAGGTCAGCAGAAGGGAGAAGCCCGTCACCGAGTGAATTTGCCAATCCAGGACCATAGGCACAATGTTACCAACTGAGGGCCCCAGATACCTTGTTACCAAGAAAGGGACCAGGAATACTGTTCCCAAATTGGGAGTGAGACACTTTGTTACCAAGCAAAGGCAGCGCAGCCATTGCTGCCACTGGAGAGCGGACAGTACAGTGTTACCACCCAAGGGCAGGCGACCCTTTGCTACCCACCAAGGGTGATGGCTGCCCTGTTGCCAGCCAAGGAGTGGGGACACGTTGTTCCCAAGGAGCTGACGGAGACGCTTTGTTGCCAGCCGAGATCGATACTGTTTTACCACCCACAGGCATTGGATTTGTTGTTGCCATGCAAGAGGAGGAGGTACAGTGTCACCAAGGGAGGGCAGGAGATAGTTTGTAACTCGCTGTCTCTCTCCAGAGTGACATTTCTCTGCCTGGTCGCTGGTGGGGGAGTTTCCCCGCCTTAGCCTGTGAGCCCAGGTCCTGCACCGGAGCTCAATGAACTCGGTATCTCGTCTCTGTGTGTGGATTGGACTTTGCACACCAGCTGGAGAATCCGGTTTTGGGACACCAGTCCCACGTTTTAGAAGCGGCACAATTGCCTCTCATGGTCTTCTTCTAAGATATAGCTTTTCCTCTTGCACTTTCTCCAGTTTTCAGCCTGGGAACACATAGAGTCATAGAATCATAGAATGGCTTAGGTTGGAAGGGACCCTGAAGATGACCAAATCCAACCTCCCTATCATGGGCCGGGATGCCTCTCAACTAGACTAGATTGCTCAAGACCTCATCTAACCTGGCCTTGAAGACCTCCAGGGAGGGGGCATCCACAGCCCCTAAGGGCAATCTATTCCAGAGCCTTGCCACCCTCATACTGAAGAACTCTTTCTAAGATGCAGTCAAAACCTACTCTCCTTCAGTTAGAAACCATTTTCCCTTGTTCTGTTGCTGGACACTATTGTGAAAAGTCCCTCTCCAGCCTTCCTGTAGCTTCCTGTCAGGTATTGTAAGGCAGTTATGAGATCCTCCCAGACTCTTCCTTTCTTCAGGCTTGAACAATCCCAGTGCCCTCAGCCTATCCTCACAGCAGAAATGCTCCAGCCCCTGGATCAACTTTGTGCCTCTCCTCTGGACTCGTTCCAACAGATCTATGTCCCTTTTATTTTTTATCATACTGACATGCAAATGTTATTGATGGTAGTTTTCATGGTAATAAATCATTGTCAGGTCTTCTATTTTCTGAGCTTATAATAGTTTTTAATTGCAAACCTCTTTAAACATTCGCCAGTTTCAAAAAGGGGGCAAAAGACCCCACAATACCTATTTATTCCTGTTTTTGAAGAGGACCAAATTGAACTACCATTATTTTTCAAATGGATAGAACTCTTAAGGGATATTAAATTACTTAAATCACCAACTTTAATTGCAGTGCAGTTGCTGACCTGGAAGTTTTCATTGTTTTGTATATGGATGTTTCAGTTATTTTTTTAAAGGAAAATGGAAAACTGATATCTTTGGATTATCATTAAAACATGTGGTTTGCAAAGATAGCCCATGCATTATCTTTCTTCTCGATTACTTTGTCTTTATGCATGTATCCGAGTAGTAATGTAGCTTTGTAAACCCTCATTCAGATTTTTCATCATCTGGTGTTCTTAATTTTTAATATTTTTCTTAACAACAGGAAATGTTAATTGACAGATGTATTATTTACAAGTAGATACTTTATCCATAATTTGTGTTAAATTACATTTGGATAGAAATTGGAATTGCATTTGCATATGTCAATCACATGTTTGAATACAATGTATTAGTGAAAAGAATTTTAAAGTACCTGAAATATTCTGGTTATATAATTTAAAAAAATAAAAAGTTTATTAAATATACATTTTGCTTAAAATACCACTTTATAAAATGGAGTACTGCAGGCTGCTGCTGCCAAATGAAATAGTAATTGCAATTGAAGAATTGAAAGCTTGTTTCCCAACACAGTGATTGGGTTTTAGAGGCTGGCTGAAGGGGAAAATATGTTTCTAATAGGATTTTTGAAGGTGTATAATCAGTTTAGATGCCCAGTTCCCATGAAATCCCTTCAAAAGCTTTTTGAATTGGTATTTGGCTGTTCCTGCCAGTCTAGTCAATTTGCATGCAGAAACATAGTTGATAAATGCCCATCACAAACAAGCAGCCAACACTCAGAGGCTAAGATGATGCTTATTAAGTGGATGCAGGAACAGCTGACATGCAGAAACAGCTCAACAGATGCTTAGGAAGGTACAAAAAATGAAGTGAGAACTGAAGTATTCAAAGTAATGAATAACATCCTAGGTGTATTTGAGACAAACAGCAAATGTGGCGAGGAATGCTCTGGAGCTCTGAATACAATGGAAGGCACATGTTCTGCTATAAAAAGTTGCATGTGAAAGAGAAGGACAAATGCAGAGGAATTCTGTCTTTATCCTAGTGTTCCCTTTCCCCAGACAGAAGGGACTGGAAATGGGTGGAATATGCCACATATGTCCTGTGGATGTATGCTTAGGAGAATACCTGGCTCTAACTGACATTTGAAAGGATCTTAAAAAAATACATGCTCTCCTGATGCTGCCCCTCCTCTTCATCTCTCCATCTTCTTTCTCCCAGAGTCAGATATTGCAGACTTCGATGGCAGAAGTTCACTCCTTTACAGGTTCAATCAGAAGCTTATGAGCACATTCAAAGATGTGGTTTCCTTGAAGTTTAAGAGCATGCAGGGAGATGGAGTCTTATTCCATGGAGAAGGACAACGTGGAGACTACATTACCTTGGAACTGCAGAAGGGGAAGCTTTCTTTGCACATCAACCTGGGTAAGGGTAATTAGGATTGCTGGTTTCCATACTAATGCAACAAGGTTTGTCTTAGTTTCCTTTATAAATCTGTTATATATATTAGGCAGTATCTAGAAACTCCAGCTGAGATCAACAAACATGCTGTGTGCCTCAGACAGCTCACAGCTTAAATACTAGTCAAAGAAGGTGGGAGAGGAACTAAAAGAGAATTGACTGATGTCATGCAGGATATTATAGCTGAGCCAAGAAGAGACCTTGGCTCGAGTGCCCACAAAAGCTGAGGTGCTCAATGACTACTTTTGAAGTTTTGAGCTTTGCTTGATGATGCTTTCAAGCAGTGACACATATATATGTAGAGTTCTGTTTCTTCCCATTCCTTTTTTTTTCTTCTTTAAATTTATATTGTCATTATTTGTGAGAATAGCATACCTGGGAAGTTTGGTTTGGAGAGAAAAAGATTTGGTTTTGTTTCATGTCTTATTTTTTCCGTTCTATGATCAGAACTGAGCTGACAATACAGAAATCAAGTTAAAACGTTCTGGTCAAAACATTGTGCACACTGGTATTGCTTTGCCTATGGAGATAGTTTCAATTGAATATTGAATATCTGTAAGTCCATCAGTGTGTGACCATTTTGGATCAGAGGAATGGATGAAAGACTGGCTGAATTTCTTCCTGCGGAAGTATGCTTGTTTTTTATTGGTGAATACATGTTGATAATAGGAGGAGATACTGTAGTAGGAGTGATCATATCCCCTCTCCAGGCCATACTGCAAAATATTCATTACATTCATCTGTGGGTGACCCATGGTACTGGCCTCAGAAGTCCCTGTGGACTCAGGTTTCTCAGACTGAGGGGTTTGAGTTGGGAAGCAGTTTCCATACCTGCACTGCTGTACTTTGGGCAGCACAGAAGCTTTGTTTGCCATGTTTGAGTATTGAAATTGGTCTGAAAGCCTCAGTGGCCCATCCAGATAGAAAGCTGAAACAAGCCCTTGCCTCTGTAAACCATGAGGGTGTGGGCAAGGAGGGGAGGGAATTAAAGTCTAAGTTTTTCACTGTGACTCTCAATAACTTTAATTAATTAGTCTGAGCCATTTGCAGTTCATGTGCATGATGCTTAGACTGCCAAGGCTGTTTTTAGTGAAAATGGGAGATGTAGCTCTTTATTTAGTTAGCTCATCAAAGAGTAGAAATCATATTGCAGCATTGTTCTGATTTGGTATTTGAATGTTACTTGAACCAAGTAACTACGTCACAAGCCTTCAAATGTGGGATTCTTTGACTCCATTGTATTTATCCTCCTCTTACAAATGTCTCATACTAGTCTAAGAATATAATATAGTTACATATATTATGGTTCTTTTTCCAGAGGACATGCTGTTGTGGATACATAATCTGAGATAAAAGGTTTTCTCCCTTCATCAGTAACCCCAAATGCACAGGGATTTTTTTGCCATTTCTATCCTCTATGTGCATTCATATGTCATGGGCAAGAGTTTGATGTCTGCTTTGGATTCTGTTTGCAACTTGCCTGACAGTTTTGGAGCACATGTTCTCTCCATTTTGATGGGAAAATAAAGGAGACACAGTCCCTTTAAATGAGAGACTCAGAAGCGTGGAAACATGTAGCCAGCTGGGAGACAGAGGAGTCCTTGAAATCACCATAGTTAGGGCCTAAATATTTTTATGACTCTTGACCTAGCTTTTTGGAGATCTAGGCCAGGTTTAAGAATCTTTTTGAGCTAAACAGAACACTTGCATTGACGTTGCTTCATTGACGTGGCTTTTTTTCTCTGTAAATAGACAGGTGGATTTTTTTTTTTTTTTTTCAAGTACAAAAAGCACATATTTGAAACTGTACTGTCAGGAGTGGCCTGTTAATATGTATAGACAGGAGATTTGGTGCAACCTGAAGAGAGCTCTTGAAACATCATGGCCTCAAACCTATAGCAGAGCCAATGGCATAGGCAGAGTGAGGATCCCCTGTGTGCTACAGTGTGTGGGTGCAGCACTGGGAAAACCTGGTTTACCACAAGAATTTCAGAGAGGAAAAATGTGTGCGTGTGTGTGCATATTCAGAGACACACATATATGAACAAGATGTCCAAAGAATGTAAGACAAGCTTTGACAAGAGTCTTTCTGATGGGCAGATTTCCAGTTTGCATCTAAGAGCATTGCCCTGTGATTCACTTCAGTCCCCATTCTTCAGTCAAGGGCCTGGAGGTAACTCTGCTGTCTTCTGCCTTTTTCTGTCCCTCCAGGGGACTCCAACCTGCACTTCAGTAATAGCCACACATCCGTCACCCTGGGCAGCCTCCTGGATGACCAGCACTGGCACTCGGTTCTCATAGAGCGCTTCAACAAGCAAGTGAACTTCACAGTGGACAAGCACACCCAGCATTTCCGAACAAAGGGGGATTCAGATCACTTGGATATTGATTATGAGGTGCGTGAAGCCCTTTAAGTTATAGCCTGGGAGATGAAGCTGAATTGGTATAAAATTTATGTGATAGAAAACAACCACCCTACGAGCTGTTTGTTTGTTTGTTTGTTTGTTTCCAGCAAAGATCTTTTCTTTATTTAATATTTCCTTCTCAGAGCACTCCTTTCATAGTTAACAAACATAGATTTTAAGCAACATTACAGATGACAGTCTTAGAAAATGGTCAGTCTCTGGACAAATATGCATTGGGCTATGCTTACACTTCAAAGTACGGCAGACTTTAAACAAAACTAAAAAGTATAGTCTGTGTTCTAGTAAAGTCTTCAGGGAACAACTGTACTTATGTGTAGAGAGGTGCTCTGTCACCATCTCCACTAGGATTTTAATAAGACTATTCTGCATCATCCCTGGATCTGACTGATGTGACCATGGGGATGCCAGCTCTGAGTTCTGCCTTTATCACTTGCTCAAATTAGAACTCTTCACATAGAGATGAGCATTGTCTTCCCACTAGGAATGGAAGACCCTGAGCATGACTGTCAAGACAACTAATTCTGACCCAGGTCCCTTCAGAACTGGGATCCTGTCTAGGGAACCAGAGCAGCTCAGCCAAAGAAGGATTGAGTAGAGGAGACATACTGCCTGCCCATAAAAACCAAGACTGGTGTGCTCCCCTGTGATAAGACTAAGGCGTGGCAGAGTGCAGTTTGCATCACTCCAGCAGTTCAATGCTTATGGCCGATAGTTGGCAAAAAATACCTTAAAAAACCCTTTTATATCTATATGCAAGGCAACTCCTCATCTGTTCCCCCCATCAATGCATACCTGTGTGCAAATTACTTATGTTCATTTTTATTCCCATGTGTTTGTCTACCGAGTCCTGCTAGCCCACAAGGCACGGGGTCACGCTTGCACAGTCAGAGCCATCACCCTGTCTGGATATGTTGAGCTGGCATGGTTCATTGCTTAAGAGATCACAAGTTTCCCCTTTGCACTTTGGATTAATTTCTCTGGAAAGGATCAATTCTCAGCACACCCAAGGGACAGAAGCAGACAGCTTGGCAGTGGCAGGTGCCTGCTCTCTGCTTCTCTTGTGTTCCAGCTGAAATTCCCTTCTTTGCATTTCCCAAAGTACAGTGGACAGAGTGGTACCTTTGCCCTGACACTTCTCTTCCAAATCACATTTAGCAGGGACGGCACATTTGAGAGCTGAGATTCTAGAAATTCTTCAGGCTGAACTAGAAAGGGCCAAAGCTGTAACTACTTTTAAGATAGAGTTGAGAAAAGTCAAAAAACTGAGTCATCAGCTTTCCTAATTTCAAAGTAATAAAATTCCTTGCTTCCTGTTACAAGGTTGATGCTAATTAAGGAGAACTCAAGCTCTAGTGTAGTTTACGGAACATTTTGCCAGATATTCCAAAACAGGGAGTGTAGTGGAGAAGATCTTCAGCACTGACCTCTGTGGGACTCAGTCCTGGCCCCTGGTACTTAGTTATTCACACGATGTGTTTTCTTTCCATTTGCACTGAGGCAATCTTTCAGTCAAACATTACTGCAGTACAGTCTACTGAAAGTTTATCTCAGCACACTTTAGGGATTAAAGGCCTTACTGAGGGTAATAAAACCATTAGTTTGGTAATTAAAATTATTATCAATCACAAAGGAAACTGTTTTCTTAATAATATAGTGGTATAATTGATACTGATTTTTATCATGGTTTTGAAACCCAGTACAAAGTCCCTAAGCAGGAGGCTTAAAGAACAGAACATGAAAGAAGGAAAGTCTGGTATTTTAAGGAAAAACTAATGATTCTCACTGGAAAACAACATTGCTACCACATCAGCCTTCATGCCAATAACAAACCTGCAAGTGACGTAAAGTAGCAGCCTGTTCACTCTTTATTTCTCTGAAGTGATCAATTAATACAACTGGGGTTCAAGTTCATTAAGGACTTGTTTTCAAAGAAGTGTTTTTAAGGTTATCCAGGGAGGTTTCATTTGTTTATATATCCCAGCTTGTTAGGTGGAGTGGGAGGAAAAATAATCCTCGGATTTCCTTTTATTTTTGTAATAATGAGCTGAGGCAAGCCGTTAGGAGTCACAACAGAGGAAGAAGGCTGCCCAGGTTGCAGCAGCCCTCAGCGTGTCGGCAGTGGCGCGCAGCAGCGCACACCCTCACTGCGGTGGATGCAGCGGGACTCAGCACAGCTCCTGCTGCGCTGGAACCACGGGGAAGTGTTGTGGCTGCGGGATCCCTCCCTGCGTTATGTCGCGATACTGCTAACTGCAGTGGGAAAAACGAGTGGGAACCCGGCAGTACCACCAGTAACTTTGCCAAAAAGGCCAGTGGAGCTGATTGGAAATTAACTGTATCATCTGGATTTGAAAATAGGATCATCAGAAGTTTTTTGGGTTGTGCGGTTTGTCTGGATTTGTTTCAGTTTGTATTTGGTGAGGTTGTTTTTGGTGGTTTGGGTTTGGTTTTTTTGTTACTGTTGGTGGGTGGTTGGATGTTTGGTTGCTTATTTATTTTATTTATTTCTTTGTTAGGAATTTAAAGTAATTATGCTCCAAGGAGTTTAGAAGCTTTATTTTCCAAGGCTCATTGTCCTCCCAGGGCTTTCAGCCCTCAAGTTAGTTGATGAGTTGTATTCTGCACACTAACGTTTTCCAGTACTTAGACAATAGCACAACAGAAATTGTGTTTAAATGTGTAACTTGCAGATCTTCTCCATTACACTTCTCAGTCCTAAATATCACATGTAAGTATTGTAAAGACCAAACCACAGTGAAGTTTAGGGAAAACGAGTGGAAGGTGCAAATGGGGTAGTTTGTGTGTGTGATACTACCCTCCACTGGCTGAAACCAGAATTGTTCAGTACATGGTTGATGGAACAGGGTGACTCCCCCTAGCAGGTAACCCAAGTGCTCTGTGGGCAGGAAGAGTTTATTCCCCCGTTGCTCAGTGGTTCCTGGCTGCAGTGATCTGCTGCTGGGCTGCAGCCTCCAGGAGAGTGAAGGTTGTGGGCTGGAGACCATCTGAACATTACCTTCCTTGTTGGATGTTCCTGGGTGGGGGGCTGGCAGTACTATGTTGGTCCAAATTAGTGAGCTGTCTGCAGCAGCAGCATCTCCCCAAGATCTGTCATTCTATGTGGGCTGCAACTCCCCTGTGGGGCAGCCAGGCCCTGCTTTGTGCTCTGAGCTGATGCTGTTGACGTGACTTGGTTCATAGAGAGTATCCCAGCTGGCTGCATGGAGTAGTGCTCTACCTCTCTGCTTTTAAGATGATAACTAAATATTGTTCTTATTCTTTCTAAAAGCTCAGTTTCGGAGGGATACCTGTCCCAGGGAAACCAGGAACCTTTCAGAGGAAAAATTTCCATGGATGCATTGAGAACCTTTATTACAACGGAGTCAATATAATTGACCTGGCAAAAAGGCGCAAACCTCAGATCTATACTGTGGTAAGAGACAAGTATATATCCTTGGTTTCTTTGCTTCCATGCTGTTGGTACTGTCAGCTGCACTGAAAGAGTGGAGTTCACATTTAGATAGATATGAGCATAATTAGCTTGTTAAAATAATAATGCTGAAGCTAACACCAGCCAGTGCTGACTGCTGTGATGAGATGAAAGACACATGTGGAAATAATGTATTTCTCTGACTTTCCAGGTGTATTAGAATTTGAATAAAATTTGTAGTTCCTTTTCCATGATTAAAACATGTCTTTTTGATGGCATGATAAAGGTCATCAAAAAAACAGGTAATTTTTTCTGGTTAACTCAGATAAAAACTTATTTTCTGAACCATTCTCCATCACTGTTATGGAAAACAGTAGCAACAGAATTTTATTCTGCTGTTTGAGTTGGTGTTATAGAGAAGAATAAATATTTATTTTTTTACGAAAAACATTTTCCTTTGTGCTGCTTCATATACTGGGTGTGTTGGCAGTTCTGGGAACCATTGATGTGGTACTAGTATCTCTAAATATGGAATGGTAAGGGTAAAACAAATGGAACTATGCTTTTATCCAGCCTGCTAACGTAAAACATAAACTTAACTTCACAACTGCTGATGTCCAAAATTAGAGCTATATTTAAATATATCACAACCAAAATAAAGAACAATTTGCTCTGTAAGTAAAGGGATCAATACACTCCTATGCAGCCTTGACAAAGTAAATAATTCAGCTCTTTTAGCATATGCCTCACTCGTGCATCATGCTTTAATATATGCCTTGTGGCTAATACTGTGGTTTTGGAAAACATGGAAGTGAAGCTGCTTCTGGCTCTCACGGCATTTTCTAGTTTGTAGTAATGTATATAAACAGAGTGAAGCTACAACAAAGCAAGCCAGAAGACCTCAAGACATTCTTCCTTTCCTGACTTTCTCTGCCTAGACTGAGGGTGAATATACAGGGAAATGGAAAAGGGGAAGGTGATGGATGAGAAGTCCTGTGCTGTGTTGTTGGCAGTCAAGACTGCCTCCAGGATGCTCCCTTAGCCTGGGACTGAGAGACTTCACTTTAATAACCTCAAGTTTGATTGCTCTGACTCAGGACTCTAAGGCACAAATCTTATGAGCTGTGTTAAATTGCTCTTCCCCTCAGCTTACTTTCTAAGGGGAGCAAAGAATCCTGGTCTGCTTCTTAGGTCATTAAACAGCTGTTTGTTTTGCCAACTGGGTAGTGGGAAGGCTTTCCTAAACAGGGAAGGTATTGTCTGGGTGGAAAAGGGCTCCAAGCAATGAAACTCGGTTATCACAGTACTTGATTCAGCCAATGCTAGATTGAAGGTTTAAGAATCCTGCTTCTCTCATCAATTTAAAGTAGCAGGGATGAGCCCCTTTCTTTTGGTCTCCCTCACAGAAATAATGATTTTAATGCAATAGTTTTCAAAGGCTGGCTGCTGTACTGCGTTTTGCAAGATTTATAAGATGCTATGTCCTGTGTCTCTGACATTTGGGTATGTAAAGAGTGTGGAAAAGTTGCCACATTTACAACGCCTCATAATAATCTGCTGCATGTACTTCTGTAGGAAAGAGCCCCTGAAAGTCTTGTTTTCCAGCATGCTTTCCATCACAGCTGTTTATGTCCTCTAGCAACTCTTAGGTCCTTCCAGCTTTCAGAGGCTGATCTCTCTTCCATCTTCCTGCTTTTCCCCACTCCTTAGCAGTTTACTTACTCAAACTAAAATAACTTCTTCTTTCTAAATGTACTCTTTTGCCTGCCAGACTTCCTCTGCACTAGATGCTTTTACTCAAAGTTCGTTGAGGTTTTTAAACAATTCATATCCTCAGGGAGCTGCAAGCTTCTCTGCTTCATGTCTTCGTAGTTGCTAAGAGTGTCTGGAGTGGAAATACAATGAAAGGAACAGCACAGAATAACCACTTGGAATCACTCCTTCCAAGATATTGTGTACTAGTTTGCATTCCCTACAAGCTGGACATCACCACAGATGTTTCTGCATTGTTAGGACACAAAGGTATTTTAGAGACTAACAAAAGGTATTTGAGGACAAAGTGGCCAGTTTGGGATTGGAAAGCCACTAATGCCCAGACACACTAGATTTTGCCTCCAAAAGGGAGGCAGATTTCGACATTCTGTCTCTGCTTCATTCTCTGTGCCTTTGTGAATGCTGACACCTTCAGTGAGCCAAACTTGTGGGTTTTCATACAGATAAACTTTGTTTTTTTGTTTTTTTTTTCACTGTTGACATCTTTCACACAAGCAAAAGAAAGATACGTCAGCTTTGGAGGTATAGATTTCCTCTTATGAAGTAGTTCCTTATCCAAATAATTAATGGTCCCAAATCAGCTGCGTTTTAAGTCAGAAGAAGAAACTACAGGTTGTCAATAATGGAGTACTGTAGTATGGATTGTACTCTTGGGTGGTGGGTTACGATTATCCTTCCACCTGTTCTTTTCTGTAACTCATTTGTAGTTGTCAGACTTGCAATAAACACCCTTGAGAAGACATCTCAAGATAACAAGGCAGCCTGTCCCTTTGAACTGGAACTTGCCTTCAGAATTCCATTTTCATATTGCTTGATACTTAACCTCTCTAAGTGGTAGCCCTATATTTTTGGACAGGCTGTCTGTTTTCTCTCCGGGGTTTCTTCTGTCCCTGATGGCATATTGTGTGTATTTTTGTTTTTTCCCTCTACTAGGTCATTGAGTGTGAAGAAAAGATAGGGGATCTTTTACTTGCTCTCTGAAGTGATTACTGATTTTAATTGCAAGAGTCTATGAGAAGACAATTTTCTGTAATTATCACTGTCATGGTAGTAGGTCTGGACCCTTGGGAAACCTCAGAAAATGCTTTAAAACAATAATCTAAAGATCTGCCCTATTTACAAGCTGCCTTCTCAGCACAAAAGAAGTGCAGACTGCCAATTATGAGAAACTGTACAGCAGTTACTCTTCTTGGGCAGCTTGTTAGGAGCAAGAAAATACACTACTAGGAGCCACATTTACAGGAAGCAGCAGCAGAATTGTCCTTCACGGAAGGATCCTTTCCCTGTTGATATCTGGGATAGAGAAGTCCTCCTTGAAGGATTTTGTGCATGAATGTATGTAGTTGCAGGAGGGGATGAGACAAGTTCTGTGAAGAGAAATCCATTAAAATTTGCTAAATACATCTGGCTCAGAGAGTAAAGGGAAAAATAGCTATAGCATCCTGGCTGTGGAACCTGTCTAGCTGAAGAAAAGAAATGAAGGGGTCTTGAAAAGATGCTGTGTTTGATCTTCTGAGTCTTCCACCCAGCGTACTCATTGAAACTGAGGAAAACCATATCCCCTTTTCCTTTCCATTACCTTTGGCTAATAGGAATTGGAGTTGTGTTTCTATTTTGCAGAGCAAGCCCTGCATTGACTAGAGTGCCGGCTATTTGTAAGGCAGGAGTCATCAGCCCTCAGATATGCTCAAATTCCTGCATCAGCCTGCCACAGTGAATCTGGGAGTGACAATTCGGCACAGCAAGGAATGTGGTGGCATGTCAATGCATCACTGTAGTGCCTCAGAGAAATAACCTATTGCCAGCAGCAAAAAGTAAGGAAAGATACCTAGTGACAGAAGAATATAAAATAATAATTCATTCCCTTTATAGAGGATCCAAACATACTATTTTATTAAGCTGACTTGAGATAACTTCATCTTGAGAAGAATTTATTTGTCTACATACATCTTGTTCTACCAAAGTGCTATTGCAAGCATTGATATACTGTGAATATCAGGCTGGTGATTTGTGAAGACCTCTGCTAGTGTTTGGAGAACCAGGAGTTAATTAGATCTTTTTAATTATTATTGGGTTTATTATTATTTTTAATTAATTTTTCATTCCAATGAAACTATAGAAATCATAAATAAAAAATGTTGTATCTATTTAACGACATTTTTTACAACTTCCTATAGGACTATGTTGAATTTATTTAAAAATAAAAAAGAAGTTGTATGCAAGTATTCAACAAAAACATGAGTCACATACACATTCAAGAAAGAAATTAATTTTCTGTTAGATAAGGCAGGTGAATTCAGATTCCAGAAATATTCAGTTCTTATACTATAAAAAAATAGCTTTTTATAGTTTCTTCTATCTTACTGTCTACTCTCTGGGTCTTCAGATGAGCCTCCTTCACATCTTACCTCCATTGTGGAATAGTAAGTGTGTCTATATAAACAGTACTCTTTTTAAGGTCTCATTTTATTGTTGCTGAATTATATAAAAGGATTGTTTTGAAAGAAGTTGTCACCTCAATCAAGGTGTTGAAATAAAGTCTGTTTAAATGACAGTTTCCCCATTGATTTCATCTGCCTTTCTCTATAATTGTAGGGACTTTTAGTCTGTAAATATTTAATCCAGTGTGTAACTGCAATAGTAAACTCTTATTGAAATTAGGATATTGATAGTTGTGATGACTACAACTGAAGCAAGTCTTCTGGAGAGAAAGGTCATGTTTTTTTTATAAGACTTGTTGACATATGCAGAAAAAAAAGATGCATTTTTGAGCAAACAAGGTCTTTTTCAGATTCATCAGCCTTCAACAAATTGCAGGTTAGAAACAATTGTTCAGAGTTTAATTTATTGCATTATCTGGGTAGTCAAATTGAGTGAATAGGGCCGTTAGTACATGCTGAGCAGAGGAGGATGTTTCAAGGTGGGAGATGATAAGGCTGTTAGTTCCTGTAGAAGAGCAAGAGATGACTAATTATTGTCATAGGAGTTAGCAGGGGATAAAGAATATGGGGGAGAATCTAATTTGCTGTTAAGCCAAGGCTTAAATTTCTATTTTATTTTTTAAGGTCTTATTCCAGTTGCTACGTCCTTGTGAACTTCTTGGTACTCAGTGGCTTGGCATAGCAGAAAGAGGCAAGCTGACCCCACCAGAGTCAAGTGTCTGGCATGTGTGTAGTTCATACCAAGCATTTAGGTTGGTGCTGTGCTATGGTACACAGGTGATTGGAATT